CACGCCCCCCCCCCCCCCCCTCTCCCCCCTACACTCACCTCCATCCATCCACCCGACAATTCTGCCGGGAGAATAAAGTTTATTTAAGCTATCTAACGCGCACATGAGTGTCGGGGATTAGTGGGGGATATTGAGGGGAGGGGGCGACTGTTGGTTTGATAAGAGCTGAGAAATGAAGCCCCTCTCTCTTTGTTCCGCAGGAAGTGCTTCATGCTCCGGGCCAAGTGTGATTGAATCAGTGTTTATCCGAGTCAAACACATCATCACACGCTGTCACTCAGACGGGCTGTCATTACGACCGTGACGTCTCCACAAAAAAAAAAAAAAAAAAAAAAAATCCGTATGGATTTTTATACAGTCGTTAATCCGTCGCATCTATTTACTACGTTTTTCGGCACTGATTCTTCGGCACCATTGCAGTGACGTCATTTCACTACACACGTTTGTCTAAGAAAACAATAATAATATTACATCAAGTCGCAAATGTGCCCTTAATAAAGTCATTTGTAGACGTGCGCATGCGCGTGCGGTCAGAAAAACATTACCCCATGACATACTTGATTTCACTCAGCTCTGTATCGATTATGATTCTGGACCGAGAACGTTTTGCAACGTAATTATTTAGATTTATGCCAAAAAGTGGCTCACGGCCCCCTCGTGGGTCATTAAAGGCTGTGTGGGTCACTAGAAAAAACCATGCAGTTTTACACTAATACTTAATTGTCACAGTTCAAACACATATAAAGATGAAGATGAATAAACCAATAATTGAATTAATAGACGATAAAAGATTTTATTAAAATGAATGACTGAAATTATTTTTAATAACCTTAACTTTAAAAATGCACCGCTGCATTTCACTAACTTGTGTAAGATCGACTTAACGATAGTTAATCAGGGGTAATTAGGGGTTGAGATAAGATATGAAAAGATCTCAAACTTGACTTGCTGTAAAAAACAACGGTGAAAATGAAAACAATCTAACAGTAAAACATGTTACAGTTCAGATTCAGATGAAATGCACATTAAATCTTCTTAAAACCCAGTCACATGTCTGGGTGTGTGTGAGAAATGTGTGTTTCAGGTGGATAAATAAACACAAATCCTCTTGTATTCCTCACTGATCTGTTGTTTAAAACATCTCACGTTCTTATCCGTGCAGGCGTCGGATTTTGCATCTTTGCAGTTCTACAAATTTCAGGCAGTAAATGGTGCCATAAAAGATGGACTGTGGCTTAGAGAGGGCCATAGCCATTGATCAGATAATCTAACATTTGCATGACTAATCCACATGGTCTCTACCCAACACTGGATGAAGGGTTATTTCCCTAGTAACCCTGTCTGACCCACAGCAACCTTTTCCTTTGCAGGGAGGAGGCCTTCAGCAAACTTCTCGTGTGCAAATTAGGATTAGAGAAAAAGTGATTAGGAAGGGAAGACGGAAGGAGGGGGTCGGATGTGGGGCGGGGGGGCAGCAAAAGGGGTGGGGGAGTTCATGGGGATGTTTTCAGATTAAGATTTAGAAAAAACAACTGGGGTTTGGCATCTGTCCTGTTGGTGTCACATGGAGATGGTAAGTAAGTGTGGATGGAAACTATATTTAATTAAGCAAAAAAACAAAACAAAAAACAGACAGATTTTAATTTAGTAATTAATCATCACTCTAACTGGGCGTTAGAAATAAAAATAATAATAATTATACATGTAACTCAGTTACAGCGAACTAAGAGCCAGGAACCAAAGTTACATTTTCTTCTCCTTAGCTTCTGTCTGACAGTCTAAGAAAACTAAGATACACTGGGTCATTATTCAGTTAGTATATTTAGTCCTGACGACAGGGGGCAGCACCCCCTCTCATTTTGCATACATCATTTACAACAACAACAAGAAATTGCTAATTAAACGCTTTCTTGTTGGCAAAAAAGCGCCATGCATTTGTCCAGCAGAGGGAGCAAGTGCCCGTTTTTTGTAATTTATGTATGTCAAACAGAGTCGTTTGCATCTTTAAACAAAGTCAAACATCAAACACGGAATCAATTAAGCTGAACATCGTTTGCTCGAGGGCAGGTGAAAATGTTAAAAAAAAACGTTTACGTTTACGTTTTTTTTACGTAACGGTTAAAATACCGATACAATCAGAGAAATAATAACATTTACATAAACATGTAGACAACACTGA